TTTGTGATCTCGATGCTTAATTAAAGCTACCATCGCGAATTTGCAGTTTAATTACGTTTATTCCAACTTCCATTTCAATTAGGTAGACATAGAGGGCTGATACGCTTTCACCGCCAGATTACAGAAATTGATGCCTGGTCTTTTTTCTCGCCACCTGATTGCAATGGGCACCATTATACAGCGGTATATCGCAGGCGGACGATCTTTTACTCGGTGTTTGATTGCCAAATCCAATGACACCGAATCATTTTTTTTGATGGTCATGCAATGCTAAACAGTGACCCTTATGAATTGCCGGACGAGTGAAGCATCTGTCTTCTCGTGACTTTTGCTGGCGTAAACGCTGAGCAACAGGGCAATGAGCATGATGCATGTGCAACGATGAATCTATATTTAAAAAGTTAGAAATCAGTCTAACGGAGCTTAAAATTTCTTTGCTAGAGGAAGGTTTAAACCTTAACGAGCTACCTCGTTATCTACATGAACTTGACGAAACGAATCTTCTTCACTCACTAAGCTTCTAGATATGGTATAAAAAACTATTACGATTCGATTTATCAAAAACCATTAAGTGTTAATGATCTCATGCCTTATTAAAGCTTTTAAGGCGTCTCAACTAGGCAGAGTCTCATATAGATCAAAAGTCAAACTGATATATATTGAATATATAAAGACGAAGGTAAATTTTGCATATTTAATAGAATGTAAGAATTATAATTTACTTGTCTAAAACGTGAAACGCACCATTAGTAGCGGAGCAACATTAATTGAAACAAGTGCTGCATCGCAGGTTACACATACGTGGTCCATCTACGCACCACCGATAGTGTTCCACAATTGCAGGTTTTTTACAGACGAACTGTTCAGTCGTTGCATGCTTTTGCAGATTTGCATTATGAAGTGGGAAAATTTACTCGTTCATGATCTCTAGCATATGTGCGATACATCCTGATCATAGCAGGCAATTAGTGCTGCTCACTTCGTTTGTACAGATTGCCAGGGTTGAGTCTTTGTGTCGTCGCATGCAGCCGCTATACGATCCGCGTCATTTATTTTTCTAGCAAACATTTCTTTTTTATCAAGCGCTAGCGGCAGCGTATGTAGAGTGTATCTCGCAGGGATAGAGAAGCGGCATAATAAATGTCGTCATCCCTTCGTGAAAATGTAGACTTTCTGGAATGCAAAGGTGTGGAAAAAAAAACCGACCTACCACAAACATGTACATGTTAAATTGTTGTTGACCTTACACCATGCATTGTGTGGAGAACCCCATGCTCGAGCACCTGCACTTACGATGTAATCCAGTTGATAAGGAATCTACCGTGGAGTTCTGCTTGTATCGTAGCACAGAACTGTCATCGTGTGATATACGGACAAAAGATCGGGTGTACAAAATCACCGCGCCACAACTGGGCGATATGGAGTTGGATCCTGCACCGTAAATGTAAGAAGAAGTATTTAGTCATACAGGGTAGGTGCAAGCCGCAGTATGAAGCGTGATCTCAACAGAGACGATAGGACGATGGCTGGGTCCGTCGAGATTATACCACGTGGGGTGAGACAAAGAAGATATGCGAAAATTTGGTTGCAGAAATATGCGTTCCTCCAAGCTGGGACTGTAAGACACCACATCGGTGTCTTACAGTCCCAGCTCGTGAGATCAATCTGTGGTACCACGTCTATGTAAATATCGGTTACGATTTAAAACAACGACACGTACATGGCTTCTAGGCTTGTAAGAGGAGCGGCTTTGTATCTCGTCTTTTAATATCAGTCAGTCCGTCCAGAGAACAACATCGAGCGCTGACAATGCACGCACCTTTTATAGAGATTACAGCTCGCAGCTGGGGGATGGGTCGTGCGTCGTGAGTTGTGAGTTGTGCCACAACGGTGCTGTCGTGCTAGTGATGACGCAATTCATTCGTTCCGTTGATGTACAGAAGAGAAAGACGAACGAAAAGAAAGACAGCTGATATTCTCCGTGCAGAACCAACTATTACAAAGATAACAACGACAGATCATAATGGGGTGACAACGAAAGAGCGACAGAAAGAGAGGGAGAGAATGAGAACTATCTTTACCGCTGAGTGAAACAGTGATCATTCACGTCCTTCTTTCTTGTTTCTCATGATCAACATATGGATAGAGCGGCATGCATATGAAAGAAATGATACTCTACACACACGCAAGACATGCAACAACATTCTAAATGCCAAGAACTTTGTCTTTCACCGTGCTATCACTCACCAAAGGCTTTGCCCATTGGGGTCACGATATATACTGCGTTCTCACATCACCTTAAACCGCACACATGTGACGCTCAGACGACGTTAAGTAGTACTTCGTGTCTAGTCCAGTGGTGACCACAACATGAGCTTACGCAACTATGCGCTCATAAACATCTCGATAATCATTGACCGAAATGATGTGCACGCATGACCTTTTGCACGAATATTGCAACTGGACCTGCAATGCCGCGAACCGCTCTTAGAAAGCTGTCACAATCGAACGAAAGTGACGAAAACCTTGTTTAAACGCTGATGGTGTAGTACAAGCGCCCCTGCAGCTAGCACTGCACCAACAGCCGCATCCTTTGTGCAGATAGGCAACGATAGCAATTCGACGTTGAGTCTTGTGAGATGAATCACCCGTGTAACCGGATCTATTCACCGTCAAACTTTGTTTTGGGACATTCATAACAACACTTCGAACTCGAATACTTGGACAAGAAGTGACGCGATAAGAGAAACGCAACTTACCATCTGGTTCCCATCCTTTTCTGTGCGTGCTGACTACAGCTGTGGACAGGCTACAGGAGCCCAATTTTGGGAAATAGAGCCAGACGGTGGCGCCAGCAAGCTCGTCTGTGGAGGCAATGTGCTCTGTGACACCGTCCGACTAGACCTTTTTCGCCTACAGTTTTGAGACCACAGCGCCTTCCTCACTTTTGAATTTGATTCGCAAGCGGCTTCGCATCGCCAGAGCCCCTGTTTTTCACTAACTGACACACTTTCTACCACTATGGTCAAAATCGTTTCACTCCTCGTGCTCGCGCTCGCGCTCGTCGTGTCTGCTAGTGGCAACGCTCTGTCGGCGCATGTCTCTGCAGAGTCGACCAAGGAGACATTGTCGGACCTGGACGCAAACGCTCCATCGAAACCGAAGAACATCAGAGGTGCTGAAGAGGGAGACTTTCATGACAGTCATGACAGTGAGGAAAGGCTTGTTTTTCCGAACCTTTTGGACGATGCAGCAGACATGGCTATGCCACTCTTGGCCAAAGCAATATTGAATAAGCAATCGGCTGGCCCGTCGAAATCGTTTATGGCGAATTTGAGGGCGGATTACAACCCGACCGTCCTATCCGCCAAAGAAGAAGTATCTGCAGCGATGAGGACGATAGATAAGTTCCCTGAAAGGAGCATAAAGAAGGAATTCAAGCAGCTTTACAAAGACAACATTAGACCGCTAGCCTACTTGGAGGCCCTTTCGAAAAAAGGTGACATTAAAAGCGCAGACGCCATGTCATTGGCAATTTCGTATAACCAATTTAAGATTGCAACGGATAGAATAAAGGGCCTTTGAAGGAGGTGATTTCATTGAAGGCCCACACTCGTCAAAGGCAGGTATGTCAACCAGTGGCGTGTAATCAGTTTTAAAGGCTCTTAGAACAACGACTGTACGTATCGTTTCGCTTCCATTCTCATGTTGTTGCCCCTGATCGGTTGCTGATGTAACTCGCGATGACTGATTTAAAATGGTTGTGCATCCTCAGATTCCGATTCTTTAGTCCACACGTTTGTCTGGGCATCATTGCAGTTCGTTCTGGACACAGTCTTGCCATACACATGCATACCTCGGCTGTGAGGTAGCATGTAGCCAATACAAGTCTCGATTCTCGCTCAGCATGGCAGCGAGTGAGAAGTCCTGTCTGCGAACCGGTAAAGTGGATAGACACTTTTTTGGTCAATGTCCTCTGACAACTTGCGTGCATGCGCACGAGAGACAAAAAATCTATTTTCATTGCGTCTTTCGCTTCGCCTCAATTTTGTGCTTGTTGTGACAACTGAGCCGCGTTTCCGCATTGTTTGATAAGCATTGTCGCATCGTGATATACGATTGATGACTCAGACCCGGTGCTCCGTCAGATCGTTGCCGTGAGTCCATATCGTTGCTAGCGTCTAGTGGGACACCGCAACCGGCCTACTGCTTTCGCACTGGAATTCGAAGCTCCTTCTCAGTCTTTGGCAGCGCCTTTCCCGAATTGCGTACCAACAAAACGGTTGTCTCCGTAACGCCAGCACGATGTGTGGCTTCGCAATGGCATCGGGTATAATCCCGAAAAACCAGTGTGTCAGAGGATACGCTCACTAGAGGATAGTGGCATCGTGCTGTGTAGCTCCGTCAAGCGTCTGGCAATCGGCCGCTGCGTTTCTGATGTGTATTCTATTGTGGTACTCTTGCTCCGAGCGATGATACTTTGCTGCGCGTTACCCTTACCCACTTTAATACCGCTGATGCGATCCGTTAAAGTGTTTCTCGTGTGTAAACATTCATCAGTCATTCTCGGGGTAAGTGCCGCTGACGCGGATCCCCGTTAAACTTGAGGCCAGCTGCCAAAGTCAAATTCTAGAGCACTCCCTCATTCCGACATCCCTCATCAACGTAGATTGGCGTGCCAATGCGTATGTGGGCCCGCACACTTAGAACGACAGGGAGTAAATCTCGGTTGTCTTGATAGGATGGAGGCCCAGTTCTGCTATCGATCAAGACGTTCACCTTGTCAAGTCCAGTGCGACCAAAGTGTCTATTTGTGCTCCACCACGCAAGAATTGGTCGCCCAAAGAGAACGTGGGATCCGGAGCTTCTTCTTCTGGCGACAGCGGTCGCCTCCTCGTGCGTAGTTCTGTCGTGTGGTTATTCGATTGCATCACGCAGTGCGATAGGCTGTCGTCGCAAGTTGAGGTATGTTTTGTATGGCGTTTTCGACAAACATGACAATGCAGCGGTCGATGCTCGTGCCAACGACTCGAGCAGCTGCTGGCGCCGCTGTGGTAACCGAGACACGTGAATCGGCATTGCTCACGCGTGTGGGGAGGTGGAAGGATTGTACGAAGTGGACGTCGTTCGAATCGATGGCAGAGTGTTGACGGAGAAGATTGAGGTCGAAGCTGCGGGTTCGCTTGGAGAAGTAGAAGGCCGCGAGCAGGCTGGTCTCGTCTGGCAGCACCTGTTCGTAAACCGCTCTCCTCTGTCGGAGGCTAGCCGCGGAGTACTGACGACGCTGCACTTGTTGGGTCTGGACCACCTTGTGGCGAGACGCGACCTGTCAGCTATCCAGAAATGGTTCAAGCATCAGGGTGTCGAGTAGTTCGTGGACACGGTGTTCCGCCTAGCTGGTCTCAAGTACGCGGTGATGACCAACATCCCGTTTGAACCGGAGGATGCCCGACACTGGCTGGTTAATCCAGCCACAACCACGTCGCCGCCTGCATGATCGCGCAAGTACTTCCGCTCGGCTCTGCGTGTAGACCAGGTCCTGCTTGGCGATAGGGCGTTCATCAGACCGACGCTGGACGTGGTCAAGCTACCACATACGCTCGCGGGTGTGCGTTTGCTTCTGGAGAAGTGGATCGACATTATAAAGCCCGAGTACTTCATGGCTAGCTTGCCCATTTCCTTCGAGTACCCGGATGAGAATGCGCCTGCTTCTGCTGGTACAAATGAGCTACCAAATGGTGCGGAATTGCTGCTGCAAGTGCTGCTGCCGCTGGCTGGAGAGAAGAAGCTGCCGATTGCGCTAAAGTTTGACAGCGTGCGTCCGATTAATGCTCGCTATGGTGTGGCTGGCGACGGAGTGAAGCCGAGCAACGTGGACATTTTGATCAAGTTGTGCCGTAACTTCCCCAAGGTAAAGTTTCTGGCCACGTTCCTCTCGCGCGTGAACCAGCACGAAGTGACCGTGGCGGCCAACAAGTTCCGGAACCTGCATCTGTATGGCTGCTGGTGGTACTGCAACAACCCGTCGATCATTGAAGAGCTCACGCGGATGCGTATCGAGATCCTGGGCACGGCGTTCACGAGCCAGCACTCGGACGCGCGTGTACTGGACCAGCTCATTTACAAGTGGAGCCACTCGTGTAGCAGGCAGAGCCCGTTACATTAAAATTGGTACGAAAGTACACAGTTGTGAATATTATCTATTTTGAATAATTCAATCAACACCACTCTAGAAAAGTGATGTTGGCGGAATAATACCTCTAAGGGTAATATCCGTGGAGGGGTCCACGTTTTAATTGATGTACTGTGTTCAAAAACCAATTAAAACACCAATCGCTGCTGGACGCGCGCAAAGGGTGGTGGACAGAAGACCCAAATAGGAGACAGTAGTTTAATATAGTTAGATTAAGACGAAAGATGATTTGGCAAAAAACATAACTATATTAAATAACAGTTCTACTTTTCCCTCAAGACAGAGCTTTCGGGTTCCGTATTGTCTTGGTCGCGCATCCTCACGCCACAGGTACGTGACGTCGGCTGCACACAACCTTGTGTTGAATTGACACAAGGCGTGGCGCAACAGAAATTCGACAAATAGCAGAGCAATATATTTATGATTATAAAACATCTGTCTGATTGAATGTGGTTAATATATTATTTAAATCTGCTCAAGGTATACAAAATCAGAAGTCTGCAGGTAGATCATAATTTTGAAATCAAAAAGGCGTATGTATAGCAAGGGAAACGTATACCGTGCACAGGTAGGAAACAAGTAGCATTCTGGTTTTGGTTTTCCTTATTTGATCCACAATTGATTTATTTTGCATTAAACGCAAACGCTTGATCACCCCAGCCGTTCAATGCTGAATGACTCCAATAATAATAACTACTTTCAATGTGAAACTATAGCAAAATTATGCAATTGCCATATAATCAGATAAGTATACGACCATCTCTGCTTCGATAATTTGTTCCGGTGTATATATGTACGTTAAAGGAAATTTAGCTAGCACTAAAACGTAAATATCTTGTATCTGCACATTATCTCTCTCTCTACATTAATATAAATATATATATATATATATATCTGTGAGCAGGTCATGATTCAATGTCGTTATTTCAAAAGCTCGCGTAATGCAATTTTCAAAAAAATATCGCCTTTTGGGTATAATACACTACTCCTGACCTATGCACCCCCATTAGTGTTAGTAGTATGACGACACTTATCAATCGTTATTTTTATGCATTTCTTTTGTTGAACTAAAGCACCCTGTAGCTAGACCAAGATATTCTATAAGTTTTAAAATCATTAATTTGACCGATATAGCACAAAAGTAATTTTTCCTTTCATAAAGATGACGTAGAAAATTAAAATTGATAAGTGCGAATATTTTAACCTCGGACCATAGTTTTTATAAATTTAGTATTTAGTTCGTGACTTTTATTATAAATAGCACAATTATGTAGATATATGATCTTGCTCTCGCAAGGCAAGTCATTAAAATTGCGCAACGCGAGGATTTACTCGATATAATACTAGACATTGTATTTTGTCCTGCTATGGTCTCTCTCCATTTCAAAAAATATATAAACAATTGAAAGGCAAATTATAGTGATGCAAACGATAATTTGTTGAAAAGGAGAATAAAAAATGCCCCATATTAGGCACGGAAATAAAAATTGCCCGGATCATTGACAAACATGCTACATGTCCATATAAACTCATAAAAACGTGGTATACAAAAGCACAATCATGATGCGGCCACAACCTAATTTACGTAAGTGCAGCACATTGATACGAGTTCTAGTCCTGGTTATGTTGGTTCTCAACATAATTTGTATGAGCAGGATGCATTTTACCATATCCTCTCACAACAGGTTATCAAATCTACGGTGCAAATTGCTTAAAACCCATCGTTATTTTAAATCGTGTCATTAGACTAAACGCAGTTCGTTAATGCAGCACCACTTTCGTCTTTTTCTAGCTACACACACACGCACACGTGCACTGTCCGTCATTGAGCACCAGCACGCGCGTGTTGCGGGCGCTCGTGCACGCGACCCTTTCTAATGTAACGATGCATCTCGCAGCAGAAAAACTAATTGTAGCAGCATCTATCGAACAACGACAGCAACCACGGCACCTCCACCAACAATAGCTGCATAAATAGCAGTAGCAGCATTAATAGAGCAACAAAAACAACAATGTAGCACCTATAACAACAATAGATGTAGAAACAGCAGTATCAGCATCAACAATAGCAACAACATAGCAACCTTAGCATCTAAACAAAAAGAGTGGCAGAAACAGCAATAGCAGCATAAACAATAGCAATTGAGACAAAAATAGAAACCAGAGCATCAACAACTATATAATCTGCAGCAACAGCAGTAGCATCATCAAGAATTGTATAGAAACAACAAAATCAACAGCTTCAGCAACAGGAGTAGCAGCAAAAAGAAAGACGCAGTTTGAACATATTTAATGAAACAACGCTGTCAATACCAAATTGAAAAAAAGAAATTAACATTATTGGCACTGACGACTGTGTTTACGGCCGCGGTCGATGATATATGAAGACGCTGATACGTCGTTATATTTAGCGTCTGGGTCCAGAAATGGTCGCTGCTAGCGTAACACAGCATCTGAAAAATCCTTTTGGAGGCTTCGCGATCCCGATTAGGGTGAATATTGGTCGCGTCCGTAAAGTGAACAAATATAAATGATAATGGACATGTCTATTATGTGTATCAAATAACCGCTAGTTTATTAGGGCTTATGTGTTTTTAGTTTTTTCCAAATATTTAGATATTTTCTAAAGATTCATTTTTAAACATCTACCCTTTGATACGTACACATATCTGAAATAGAGTCCGCTTTAAGTACCGGTATTTCCCCAACTAGGTACGTCATACTCTTACATACATAATGCCATATAAATATTCTTTGCTTTGCACACACTCTCCGTATTACATGCCTCTTTTGTGTTAGCGCACAGACTTACTTATTAAATAAACTCTCATTATCCGGTATCCCCCCTACGAACCCCTACCACTACCATTTCCCATAATTTGTAGATATTTGGTATGTCGTTTATCCCGACCATTATCTGTCAAACGTTTGTGGTTTTTTTATAGATCGAAATGATGGTTTTCAAATTCTTGATCGATCCTATGCGATACGACCTTCTCTTCCCTATCGCGCACAAGTATAATGCTATTGTTCGGGAAAAATACCTGCCTATGATGGCATTTACGTCTCGTACTGCGCAGCATGGGCCTTAACACCGCATATGATTAAACACAAACCCATCAGCAGCAGCAAGTGAGTCAACAGCCGCCCCCAAAGAAAAATTACCAGGCGCCTCATCAATGACCAACCGTCGCATTATTAGCGCCTGTCTGAGACTACTCATTTAGTGCGCGGTGACAATCGTATTTCCCATCGAGCTCACAAAACGCGTCGACGCACGAGCGATCATTTCTCGCAAACCATATCTGATCATAAATACTAAACTTTCGATTGTCCGGCGCTGCTGCATTGTCAAAGATTGACTACAGCAACGCCAAGCACCTGAGCAGTTCAAAGACACAATTCACTTCCATTCAAAGCAAAACTTTATCCTGTGATGGAAATTCTATAAACCCAAGTACCTCAATGTGTATATGTTGCACAAGATAACCTGGCCGGATCGCGGTAAAAAAAAGTTTGAATATAGAACCAAATTTAGCAAGGATCTCACTACCCAATTAAAACTTATGTAAGGGTAAGGATACCATATTCCAATAACTCCATGTGTATGTTATCCGGATATCCCTGAAGTAATTATAGGGCACGTCTTTATGCTGATATGCATGTATATTTGCTAAACATAAGTACGTCTCGACAAGTATAGGAAGTGGTGTATCGGATTTTATCGAATCTACAATTAATTTTTTATAAAGTTGATGTCAGTCGTTGTATTGTCAATCCTAATTTCACACCAAATTGGAAGATTTATTTTATCTCGGCAACAAACCCATCGATTAATGAAGAAGAGATCTATTTAAGTCATCAATAAGTTTGATATACATTCTCAACCTATCGAATGCGCATTGACATCTATCAAATTAAAAATTTATCGAACAACATCGTTTATTGTGGTCTGTTTAACATGAAAAACATTGAACGCGATAAGGAATCGTACATATATTGTGCGTGAGAGCAAAAGTGGAACGATAAGGATTTGGATATATCTGGTAGGGCTGGAAACCAAAAATATATAAAGTTTGCCGAGCAGTGAGTTGTAGGAAAAGTAGGATTATGTCCCATACCTGTCAGTTTATGCATGTTAAACAATTCTGTATATATCTGTATATATAAGATTTTTGAATCATAATTATTGTAATGAAGACAAACAATGACTATCACATGATACGTGCGCTTCAACGATGAGGATCGCAAGTCTGTCAAACATTCGGATCCCATTCCCCAGATTGTTGGGATTTGGTATGGATAATGTGTGTGCTAGGTGACTGCATTTTTTGTATATCACGTCTAAATATAAACCCTATTTTAATAATGATCTAAGCCGCGTACAATACTGTAACAACGCCACAGTTGGCCACATAAGGTATTCAACAAATCTACATCACACCATGAAAAAAACGACCAACTACAACCTTCTTGTAAATTACATAAATGTTTGATGCACAAGTTGGAATGGATGTAATCTGTGAATTTCTCCATTAGATTAAAATTGCGTTGAATGCAAAAAAGGCGGAACATATTGGCCCCGATCTTGATACGAATTTCAATATTGACAAAGACAATGCCGATCATATTCGCAAGTCATACTCATGATGTTAGCAGAGATATTCAAGTAAATAATTTATCAAATTTTTCTCAATTTGCAGTTTAATCTGAGGAACAAGACACTTATATATTAAACCTCTCATGCTACATTAATAGAAACAATATTTTCATTAAAAACGAGCATGACACTATTATGACTGCTTGAAATGTAGATACAATCACTACTCGTGTAGATTACAGCCTAAACTATACTGCAAAACATCGACAAAATTTACTTATTTTTATACTGGTTTTATAAGATAGAACTGTACACAGCCGTATATAAGTAGTAGCAACATATGCATCCTTTATGAGAATGTGATTTTTACCTG